AGAATATCAGAAGTCGAACATCAACTCAATGAAATAAAATGAGAAACCAAGATCAGAGAAAAAAAAACAAAAAAAGGGATGAACAAAATCTCCAAGAAATGTGGGACTATGTGAAGAGACCTAACCTACATTTGATAGGCATACCAGAAGGTGACGAAGAGAACTAATTCAAGTTGGAAAATACTCTTCAGAATATTATCCAGGAAAATTTCCCCAACCTAGCAAGGCAGGGCAACACTCAAATCCAGGAAATACAGGGAACACCACAAAAATACTCCACAAGAAGAGCAACCCGAAGGCACATAATCGTCAGATTAACCACAGTTGTAATGAAGGAGGAAATGCTAAGGGCAGCCAGAGAGAAAGGTCGGGTCACCCACAAAGGGAAGCCCATCAGACTCACAGCAGATCTCTCGTCAGAAACTTTACAAGCCAGAAGAGAGTGGGGGCCAATATTCAACATCCTTAAAGAAAAGAACTTTCAACCCAGAATTTCATATCCAGCCAAACTGAGCTTCAGAAGTGAAGGAAAAATAAAATCCTTTGCGAACAAGCAAGTACTCAGAGGTTTTGTCACCACCAGGCCTGCTTTACAAGAGCTCCTGAAAGAGGCACTACACACAGAAAGGAACAACCAGTACCAGCCATTCCCAAAAAAACACTAAATGCTAAAGAGCATCAACAAAATGAAGAATCTACATCAACTAACGGGCAAAACAGCCAGCTAGCATCAAAATGGCAGTATCAAAATCACACATAACAATATTAACCCTAAATGTAAATCGGCTAAATGCACCAATTCAAAGACACAGACCGGCAAATTTGATAAAAAACTAAAACTCATCAGTGTGCTAGATCCAGGAAACCCATCTCACATGCAAGGATACACAAAGGCTCAAAATAAAGGGATGGAGGAAGATTTACCAAGCAAATGGAGAGCAAAAAAAAAGCAGGAGTTGAAATTCCCATCTCTGATAAAATAGACTTTAAAGCAACAAAGATTAAAAAAGACAAAGAAGGTCATTACATATGGTAAAAGGATCGATACGACAAGAAGAGCTAACCATCCTAAATATATATGGACCCAATACAGGAGCATCCAGATACATAAGGCAAGTTCTTAATGACTTATAAAAGACTTAGACTCCCACACAATAATAGTGGGAGACTTTCACACTCCACTGTCAATATTAGACAAATTAACCAGACAGAAAATTAACAAGGATATCCAGGGCTTGAACTCAGACCTGGAACACGCAAACCTGATAGACATTTATAGAACGCTCCACCCCAAATCCACAGAATATACATTCTCAGCACCACATCACACCTACTCTAAAATTGACCACATAATTGGAAGTAAAGCACTCCTCAGCAAAAGCAAAACAACTGAAATCATAACAAACAGTGTCTCAGACCATAGTGCAATCAAGTTAGAACTCAGAATTCAGAATCTAACCCAGAACTGCACAGCTTCATGGAAACTGAACAACTTGCTCTTGAATTTTGACTGGATAAACAATGAAATAAAGGCAGAAATAAAGAAGTTCTTTGAAACCAGCGAGAACAAAGACACAACATACCAGAATCTCTGGGACACATTTAAAGCAGTCTCTAGAGGAAAATATATAGCAATAAGTGCCCATATGAGAAGAGTGGAGAGATCCAAAATTGACACCCTATCATCAAAATTGAAAGAGCTAGAGGAGCAAGATCAAAAAAAACTCAAAAGCTAGCAGAAGACAAGAAATAACTAAGATCAGAGCAGAACTGAAGGAGATAGAGACACGAAAAACCCTTCAAAAAATCAATAAATCCAAGAGCTGGTTTTTTGAAAAGATCAACAAAATAGACCACTAGCCAGACTGATAAAAAAGAAAAGAGAGAATAACCAAATAGATGCAATAAAAAACGATAAAGGGGAAATCACCGCAGAGTCCACAGAAATTCAAACCATCATCAGAGAATATTAAAAACAACTCTATGCACAGAAACTAGTAAACCTGGAAGAAATGGATAAATTCCTGCACACCTGTGTCCTCCCAAGCCTAAACCAGGAGGAAGCTGAAACTATGAATAGACCAATAACAAGGTCTGAAGTCGAGGCAGCAATTCAGAGCCTACCATACAAAAATAGCCCAGGTCCAGATGGGTTCACAGCCAAATTCTACCAGACACACAAAGAGGAGCTGGTACCATTCCTTCTGAAACTATTCCAAATAATACAAAAAGGGGGAATCCTTCCCAAATCATTTTATGAGACCAACATCATCCTGTTACCAAAACCTTGCAGAGACCCAGCAAGAAAAGAGAACTTCAGGTCAACATCCATGATGAACATAGATGCAAAAATCTTCAATAAAATACCAGCAAGCCGATTGCAACAGCACATCAAAAAATTTCTCCATCATGATCAAGTAGGATTCATCCAGGGGATGCAAGGCTGGTTCAACATACGCAAGTCTATAAATGTAATTCACCACATAAACACAACCAAAAACGAAAACCACATGATTATCTCAATTGACGCAGAGAAGGCATTTGACAAAATTCAACAGCCCTTTATGCTAAAAACCCTCAATAAACTCGGTATCGATGGAACGTATCTCAAAGTAATGAAAGCTATTTACGACAAACCAACAGCCAATATCATACTGAATGGGCAAAAACTGGAAGCATTCGCTTTGAAATCTGGCACTAGACAAGGATGCCCTCTTTCACCACTCCTATTCAATATAGTACTGGAAGTTCTAGCCAGAGCAATCAGGCAAGAAAAAGAAATAAAGGGTATTCAAATAGGAAAGGTGGAAACCAAATTGTCTCTATTTGCAGACATGGTAGTATACCTAGAAGACCCCATCGCCTCAGCCCAAAAACTCCTGAAACTGATAACAACTTCAACAAAGTCTCAGGATATAATATCAATGTGCAAAACTCAGAAGCATTCCTATACACCAATAACAGACTGAAAGAGAGCCAAATCAAGAACGAACTGCCATTCACAATTGCTACAAAAAGAATAAAATGCCCAGGAATACAACTCACAAGGAACGTAAGGGACCTCTTCAAGGAAAACTACAAACCACTGCTCAACGAAGTAAGAGAGGACACAAACAGATGGGGAAACACTCCATGTTCATGGCTAGGAAGAATTAATATCGTGAAAATGGCTTATACTGCCCAAGTAATTTACAAAATCAATGCTATCCCCATCAAGCTACCATTGACTTTCTTCACAGAACTGGAAAAAACCACCATGAACTTCATATGGAACCAAAAGAGAGCCCACATAGCCAAGTCAATTGTAAGCAAAAAAGAACACAGCAGGGGGCATCACAGTACTGGATTTCAAACTATACTACAAGGCTACAGTAATCAAAACAGCATGGTACTGGTACCAAAACAGAGATATAGACCAATGGAACAAAACAGAGGAATCAGAGGCAACACACCATATCTCCAACCATACAATCTTTGATAAACCTGACAAAAACAAGCAATGGGGAAAGGATTTCCCATTTAATAAATGGTGTTGGGAAAACTGGCTAGCCATGTGCAGAAAGTAGAAACTGGACCCCTTCCTGGACACCTTACACTAAAATTACTCCAGATGGATTAAAGACTTAAACATAAGACCTGGCACCATGAAAACCCTAGAAGAAATTCTAGGCAAAACCATTCAGGACATAGGAGTAGGCAAGGACTTCATGAACAAAACACCAAAAGCATTGGAAACAAAAGCCAAAATAGACAAGTGGGGCCTAATCAAACCTCACACCTTCTTCACAGCAAAAGAAACTGTCACTAGAGTGAATCGGCAACCAACAGAATGGGAAAAAAATTTTGCAGTTTACCCATCTGACAAAGGGCTGATATCCAGAATTTACAAAGAACTCACACTGATTTACAGGAAAAAAACAAACAAGCCCATTCAAAATTGGGCAATGGATATGAATCGACACTTTACAAAAGAAGACATACATGAGGCTAAGAAACATATGAAAAAATGCTCATCATCACTGGTCATCAGAGAGATGCAAATCAAAACCACATTGAGATACCATCTCACACCAGTTAGAATGGCGATCATTAAAAATCTGGAGACAACAGATGCTGGAGAGGATGTGGAGAAATAGGAACACTTTCACACTGTTGGCGGGAGTGTAAATTAGTTCAACCATTGTGGAAGACAGTGTGGCGATTCCTCAAGGCCTTAGAAATAGAAATTCCATTTGACCCAGCAATCCCATTACTGGGTAAATATCCAAAGGACTATAAATCGGTCTACTATAAGGACACATGCACATGAATGTTCATTGCAGGACTGTTTACAATAGCAAAGACCTGGAACCAACCCAAATGCCCATCGATGATAGACTGGATTGGGAAAATGTGGCACACATACACCATGGAATATTATGCAGCAATTAAAAAGGATGAGTTTGTGTCATTTGTAGGGACATGGATCAATCTGGAGAACATCATTCTCAGCAAACTGACACAAGAACAGAAAATGAAATACCACATATTCTCACTCATAGGCGGGTCATGAAAAATGAGAACACATGGACACATGGAAGGGCGTACTAAACTCTGGGGTCTATTGGGGGGAATAGGGCAGGGACAGCTGGGGAGGTGAGCTTGGGGAGGGATAGCAGGGTAGAAATTCCAAATGTGGGTGAAGGGGAGGAAGAAAGCAAAACACACTGCCATGTGTGTGCCTATGCAACTGTCTTGCATGTTCTGCGCATGTACCCCAAAACCTAAAATGCAATAAAAAAAATTTTAAACAATAAAGGTATCTAGGGCTGGTGATTCCCAAACTCCTTAAATAGCCTATTCCTACCCTCAGTTTACCTTTATCACTAAGAGTTCTTTAAGATTACCCTGAATCTTTTGTAATGGAAGTTTATTTGCTCCTCCTTTTGTCCTCTTCTTGCTTTATTGTCATTTCTACTTTTCTCTGTTCTTGTCCTTTAAGAAGTAACCAATATTCTTACCTTCTGGTTTGGCTGCAGTGGGAGTGTAAAGATAGACTTCCAGTAGGTCCAGGTAAAGAACACAAAGATGGCATGGTAGAGTATGAGGTAGACAACTGAAAGTTAAAAAAAAAATCAGCATTTATACTACCTTTCATCCATTTCTAAGAGCTCAAAAACAGAAAGCTCTATGACAAATACTTACTTTGTTTTCCTATTAACATGTATTCTCTGATATTATTATGAAGTGTTAATTCTATTTTCCCATATAATGACAGAAACAAGTCATAATGCCAAATTTTAAACAAAGACTTTCTGCAAGTTGCATACCTTAAAAGTTGCTATGTGTTTCTGAAGTAAAGGGGAAATGTCCTTTATGATAATGTAGGGAAAAGTACTTTGGCCAATTGTCATTATCTTTGCTACTTTGGGTACTGAAAGGTGATAATGACACAATTTACAGAGCACTTTAGAGTTTACAACATGTTTTCACATATGTTATTTCTTTTTATTTTCTTGATAAATTTTTAAGATAGGTAATAAGATAGGGATAGTCGATTAACCACCAGAGTTAGTTGATTAACCGAAGTCACACAGGTAGCCTATAATGTAGCCAGGTGTTAAAGGCCAAACACTTTTTTTCTTTTAAAACAATTGTACAAATTCATGGGGTACAAGTAAGGCTTCCTTACATACATAATCTGCACAAGTAAGACTAAAACAGTTTTTTTCTTTTAAAACAATTTGTATAAATTCATGGGGTACAAGTAAGGTTTCATTACATGCATAGGTTACAAAAGGTGTAGTCAAGGCTTTCAGAGTATCCATCACCTGAATAACAGACCTTGTATGCATTAAGTAATTTCTCATCATCTACCCCCCACCCCCTCAACCATACCAGTCTCTATTATCTATCATTCCACAGTCTATATGCATGTGCCACATTATTAGCTTCCACTTATGAGTGAGAACATGAGGTATTTGTTTTTCTGTGTCTGAGTTGTTTTGCTTAAGATAATGGCCTCCAGTCCCATCCATCTTGCTGCAAAAGACATGATTTCATTCTTTCTTATGGCTGACTAGTATTCCATTGAAGATTATATACTTTTGATTTGTGGGTTGTAATTCTGAGAGAGTTATACAAGTGGCTCTCCACTGCCTTTGTTTTCATACTGTTTTTGCCTTTTAGATAGGTCTTCTCATATGGGATATTTTGGTATTCTCCAAAGAGGTGGTTATAAGACTGCAAGACTGTGAGTCCTTGAAATGGCATGGTCTTACTACTTCAATCCATCAGAAAGACTCAAGGGAGCAATGTGACTCAATACCAACTGATAGGACTGAGATTCTCATACATTTATAATTAAATTAGAAAGAAAAATCCCTACTCTCCTGGCCCAGTGTTTCCAGCCCTATAGGACAAGATCTTTTATATATGCTTGATTTTTATAATTAGAAACCTTATTTTAAAATTCAATCAATATAAAGTAAAAGGTAAATGTCCACCTCACACATCCATCTAACCTTCTCACTTCCCCATTCTAAGGCATAACACCTCTTTGGTGTTTAGAATGCATCATTCCAGATCCTCTTATTTTTATATATTTATAAAATATATGTACACCACAAACATGAAAGTTTTGTAATATTTTAACATTTTTCATTGTATCGTTTTTCAAGGTAATATTTTTACAAGGTTACCTGAAGGTATAGAATACTATACAGTGAAAAGTCTCTCTTATACCTGTCCCCCTAGCCACCTAGTTCTCTTCCCTGGAAGAAACCATGACTCGTATGTATCCTTTAAGATTTTATACATACAAAATCACTCAAATAGTGTGTTTTTTCCCACAAATAGCAATATTCCATATACACTGTTTTGTACCTTACTTCTTTCTTTTCACTTACTGTAGTTACCATGATTTATTTAATCAGGCTGTCTCTGAGGAATGGTTTTTCCCCTTCTCTTGCTCATACAAATAATGCTTCAATGAATAATTTTTATATGTCACAGCACATGCACAAAATATCTATAGGGTCAATTCTCTGAAGTGCAAAGTCAAAAGGGATGTCTTTTGGTAGATAGTGCCAAATTGCCATTAAGAATATTTGTATTCAGTTTATATTCTCATCATCAATAAGTGAGAGTGACTCTTCCACTACCCTCTAGAATGCAAGATTTTTTCAAGAGTTAGGTCCAATGTCTAGCTGGCTACCCCCTGGGATTGTCTCTAGTCTAGCCTTTGTGAAGTATTATCATAATTTTTTTCTCTTAGGTAATGCCTTTAAATGATTTTTTAATGTGTTGTCTTTTGCTATTGTGTTGTTTTCCTTGATCTTCTGAGGTTCATATGGGGAAAATTATATGACTAAGTTATGTTAATCTGTGTTCCTTCAGTATGGAATTGGAGCATGAAATCTTTGATTTTTAAGGAGATCAGGAGAAAACAATTTCATGTTTACCCTTTCATTATACATTTCAAGGGTAATGCAATTAACCAATTTGGATCACCTGAGTGACTGAGAACTAACACTAACATTTGGCTATCATTTTACTAACATAAATGTATCTTAAGGACATTAACTATATTTGTAATTCCAATGATTGAGATAGGAAGTGTGGGAGTTTAACATGTTCCAGGATCCCATTAACTGCTGGATCCCATTCCTATATTACAAAATTTCATAGAAATTATGGGTATTTTTAAATAAATGGGTAGAAAATGAAGGATTTTGAGGTTGAATGACTAAGTCAAGGTCATTCTATAGACTGGTAAAATAGGAACTATACCAATATTTAGAGTATGGTGAGACCATAGAGATTATTTGGTTCAGCAATCTCATTTTACAGAGAAGTAACTGAGACCCAGAGGGGCAAGTGATTTGATCAGAATTACCCAGCAAAGTTACAGAAGCAATGGAATCAGAATCCAAGTTTCTTCGGTCTCAGTCCAGAGTGCTTTTCCTTAGCGCATTGATTCTCAAATTTCAGTTTGCATCAAAGCTACCTGGAACGGTTATTAAGATGCAGACCAAAGGGAAATTTGTCAGCTAGACAGTCACATCTCTCTTTGAGCATAACACTTAGCAATGAGGTGTTAATTCTAATATTTGAGTTCACTGTTTCACTTTACTTTCTTTGTTTTACCAAGTCTAACAAAAAGCTAGACCTTGTTTTTCAGCTATTTAAAGGAATGAAGATAATGGGAAGAGACCCATAAGGTGTGCCCAAGGATCTCATTCTCATGACAGTACAAGAATTGTTCAAGGGTTGTTTTCCAATAGACGCTGGAGACTGCTGTAGGGGGCTGGGGAGCAAGGGTTGAAAAACTACCTATTGGGTACTATGCTTATGACTTGGGTGATGGGCTCAATTAAATGCCAAACTTCATTGTCATGCAATATATCCACTAAAAAGCATGCACATGTACCCATGAATCTACAAGAAAAGTTGAAAATATTTTTAAAAAAGAGTTGTTTCCATGATTAGCTACCTTCTAGAATTCAAGATTTTCTCAAGAGTTGTGTCCAGTGTTTAGCTGGCTACCGGCTGGGAGTATCTCTAATGCTGTGATCAAATTCTGGTGCTAATACATGATATGATCTTTAGAATGGGCTTAGTTTTCCTCATTGATATCCACTTCAAAAATTAGGGTTGTCTTCCAGGTATCCTAATTTCTTCTAATTATCCATTAGACCTCTACTACTCACCAATTTACATAAAGCTTATATGAAGCTGATTAGATTATCAATTATCTGGGAATAATGATCTTATAAGTTTGCCAGGCACTGTGCAAAGCATGGCTTCATATTAGTTGTCTTAAACAGCAGTGTTAAGTTTGAAAGAGCTTTCTAGTCCCCATGTATTGGAATCTGGTGAATGACATCAATCTAACAAAATACATAAAATTCTTATGTTTATAAACTTTAATGATAGTCCCTTTCAGATTTTGTTTGTTCCATGCTGACAAGGTCTCTACTTTTTGTTCTGTTTTGGGCATTGAGGTGGTGTGCAAAACACAATGGATTTGGAACCAAGATGACTAGGTTTTAAACTGTAGATTTGCCCTTAATAACTATGGGTTTTCAAGAAGCTGGTTAACCTTGCTGATAAACATATGTGTACATATATGATCACATGTATGTATGTGTGTGTGTATGATTAAAACATCTGCTTGTCAAAGTTGTTGTGGTAATTGACAAGTGTGTGAAAGTATCTGACATTCTCTAAGTACTTAATAAACCTGTTTCTCTTCCTCTCACTTCCTCTTAAATCTTAGTGATTTGTTTTCTGAGACATGGTGATAAAAATTACGCAGATTTTTGCAGGCAGAATGAACCATGGTTTTGTTAAAAAAACAGAAAAAAATGGGCCAAGCATGGCGGTTCACACATTTAATCCCAGCCCTTTGGGAGGCTGAGGTGGGAGGATTGGCCCTGGGCAGGAAAGTAAGACCCTATCACTACAAAAAAAAATTATCTGGGCATGGTGGCATGTGACTGTAGTTACAGTTACTTGGGAGGCAGAGGTGGGAAAATCATTTGAGCCCAGAAATTTGAAGCTGCAGTGAGCTATAATGGCACCACAGCACTCCAGCCTGGGTGATGTAGTGAGACCTGTCACTAAAAAAATAAATATTAAAGGAAAAAATATTTATTTCTAGTCCTCTTGTTGATAATGCTGACCCAAGTTTCACTGATTCATTGATCTTGGGGATAAGAAAGTATACAGGCCAATATCCCTTGGGGAATAATCTTTGGCTTCTTTCCTGGTTTAAAATGGAGAGTTGAGATATTACTATTCTGCCTGTATAATTTGGATTAAGTACAGCCCAATGCATTCAAAGTTGTCAGGAATATTCACAGAAGACTGAGAAAACAAAAACAGAGAATTTCTATTAACTGTACAGTGGGTAGGGATTTGTAAGCTACTTCTCTGCTGGCTGAGCAAGTGTAAGGGATTCTACCAATCACAACGTGATACCCTCAGAATGTATTACATTTTGCTGATGCCACCAATAATTCCTCTATCTCCTTAATATGATGTTGACTTAATTTATGTTAATTTCATACATTTTCAGAGTTGGAAGAAAATAGTATAATATGAATGCTAGGTAGGTTAACAAATTATAACAATTAATTCCCCTGAAGTTAGAATTAAAAGTGGCTATATAAAGTGGCTACATAACACTCATGGTTATTACTGATAAAATAATGTAAAGCTAAAGGTTTACTAGCTTACACTTTTTTTAATGGAAAATGCCACAATCTCTTTAGAAAGGTAGTATATTTTGCTGTTCAAGCCAAGGTGGTGGTGAGGAGTGGAAAGAAGTACAATAAATTTACTTGAACTGTGATGGTGAAGGAGTTAGACTATTAAGTCCCAACTGGGGCCTTTACTCCATGCCTTAAAGAGGAAATGGATTGGGCAGAAAGGCAACATACCTAGGACAACAGTGATGAAGAAAGAGACAGCCTAGAGTCACTGTGTCAGAGTCTCATCTGTGTCCTTCTCTACCATAAATCCTGACAATTTTCCACTCTTGTCCTACAGCCAAAGGGGTCACTGAAAATGCTCTGCTGGGCAAGATTCCTGAAAACCATCATTCTAAACTTGCTTTTCAACTAAGGGTATTCCTGGGAAAATTGCTCAGTCTATAGGCTTTTATGTAATTTACTTTTAGATGAAAAAAGTACACAGTCCTGATCGATACAATTTATAACACCCTCTTACCTTTTTCTGCTGGGCTCAAAACAGTCACTGTGAAGAAAGAAAGGAATGAGAGAGTGAGAGGAAAGAGAAAGCAAGAGAAACAGAGAGACAGAGACAGATGAGAAAAGGGAGAGAGAGATTAATTAGTTATATTTAAAAATCTTGTCTAACTCATTTCCCACAGCATAATTGGAGTAATTAATATTATAGTACTTTAGAAAACCACCAGCCAAAGATGAGGGAAGGCAAGGATAATTACATTCCATCCTTTGCTATCTTCCTTCATCTTAAACCTTCAGCATGGCTTTCAATTGTGACAAGCTGTTTATCAAGATGATTTTCAAAGTTTCTTTCTCCATTGGGCTCTAACAAGCCAGGTAGAGATCCAGCAATAAAAGGCATATGTAAACATGCTTTCTTAAAAAAAAAAACACAAGATGGTTTTCATACAAAATGATCAACAGTTAAGGATCAGAAAAATAGGGAAAAGGTCTAAACAGAATGAGACTATGTTCTAGGGGCTATTTCCTCAAATCTTTCATCAGTCATACTTTCTTTTTTTAATTCATATATAGGTCTATTTTATTGAGTCTTAAAAATTCTCCTTTTAATGATTATTTCAATGGGTTTGTTACAACGGTTACATTTCATCTGTGTTAAAAGTCTGACCAGACAATGTTTTTCTTTTTTCTAATAAACCTGCCTGAAGACTGATACTAACTCCTTGTTGTTGTTTTCCAGTTAAACAACCAATACTGGTTAAGAATGCTTGAAAAAGACACATACTCTATTTTCACAATACAAATGGAAGTGGCAACAAGAATTATTGATCAGTCAACCTGGGACTTCATGATTTTTTACATGCATGCTGCATGGCTGCATTGGTTCCACTAGGCCTTGAATCAGGCTAGTAACATCTCTTTTTAAAAACTTTAAAATGAAGTGAGAGGGAAAGCAGAGTTGCTTGGAGACCAATATTAATGAGGAGTAGCGGATAAATTACTGTTTGGTATGTTTCCTATCCTTGGCTGAACACTTGCTGCTAAACAAGAACTGGAGGTTTTAACTCCCATTTGCTTGGCTACTTGCTAAAGCACTGTGGGTTAGGGAAGATTACTTAGTACCTGTAGATAGTGAGATGAAACATGTTTATACAGAAGAAGAAATGGGAGCCAATGGGGGAGCCAGTGGGGGAGCCAGTGGGTGCCAGCTGTTCTAGAGAGGGGGGAACAGCTATCTGTAAGTAACTGCAGAACTTTTAAGTGAAAATGAGATTGGTTTATATGACCCAAGCGCAGAGGGCAGAAATAGAACCAATAGGTTAAAGATGCATGTTAACACATTTTAGCTCAGTATGAGAAAAAATGATGACAACAATAATGATGATGACAACAACGAGCAACCTAGGGAAAAAGTGTTTCCCATTATATACACTTGGAAATGTAGAGAACATTCAGACATTAGTTTCACAGTGAACTTTACTTGTAAAGTCTTTATTACGTCTGAAATTGTATAGGAAGTAAGTAAGTCTAAGGGAAAAATTTGTACGTTTAGCCATTCTATGGGTAACTTGCCATGCAGATTTTAGAGTGATGTGGTGATACATGTAATTACACACTGCTCTGTTTCTTCAAGTTTCATTCACTACTAGGGAGCTAAATGATCAGAGTTATCATCAAATAACTTTTTACACTGCCTCTCCATTTTTCTTTCATTATTTACTAATTCTTTGCAAGTAGGTATGGAGAAAAGTTAAGAAAGGGTGGTGTATATGGAATGGTTTTTCATCACAGACAATTGGTGTTAAAACCAAAGCATAGTTTATAATTTCCTTTAAATAGGTGCATGTTGTAGGGTTCACAGAAATGTACAAATAGAAAAAGCTTAATTTGGGGCTAGATAGGAATGGTCAACAATCGTAGAAAGGGCATGGAAGAAACTCTACAGCAGTGCCATCCAATAGAAATTATGTGAGTCAGGTAGTTTAAATTTTCTAATAGGAACATTTTTTTTAAGCTAAAGAATACCAAGTGAATTTAATTTTGAAAATATATTATACCATTATATCATAACATTTTCATTTCAACATGTTAGCCACATAAAAATTATTGAGATAGTTTATATTCTTTTTTTAACTAAGTTTTGGAATGCTGATGTATATTTTATGCTTTCAGAACACCTGAGTCCAGATGATACAGTTCAAATGTTTACTAGCTACATGTGGCTGGTGGCTACAGAATTAGTACAGTTCAAAAGGGATTTGTCAAAGGAAAGTACGAAGTTTGAAAATATAAGGAGTCCAGTGAGATGAGTGCTCACTTACAACACGAAGATCCTTTTGAATTAATACATGTTTGGGAAGGGAGTTTATTATAACGATGTACAGCATATACTTTGGCATGTATTCATATTTTGGCTCTTGACACTTATTCTATGACCTTGGTCAAGTTAATTAATCACTGTGTGCCTCAGTTTCCTCACCTGTAAAATGAAGATAAAATTGTTTATGCCATCAGATTGTTATAAGGATTAAGTAATAAAATATGTGTAAAGCACTTGGGTGCTTTGCACATAAGTACTTAATTATTGCTAGAAATTTATTATCATTTTTCTACAAAAAAGAAATTGTTTAGTCCAGTTACATTTGACAGTAAGTTTAGGACAAAGGAAGTCTGATTTTTAAAAAATGTTATGGTTCCCAGAGGTACATATGATGGTTTTGAAATGATTTATTCAATGTCAAAATAAATTTGATTCCCCCACTTTTTCACTTAGCTGTTTCTCAGATTCTAGGTTAGGAGAGAGAAAAGAATTTGAAATAGGGAACCGAGACACATTTCTGAGTGTTTTCTGTTTAAAGAAAGCTAATCAGGCCAGTCTTTATTACTGCTTTGAAAAAATTATTCACAACAAGCATTCATTAACTTTTAAGGCAATCCTTCTCAAACCTGGATGATCTTAACACTTACTTAGGAAGCATAATAAAAATATACATTCCAGGGCTCTCTTCACATAACAAAGCTTTAGGTAGAGGTGAAGAAATTTGTATTTGCAAGCCTCAGCAGGTATTTCTGAGTTAGGTTTAAAAACCATTGGAATTATATTAGGAGTTTGTTACAATAAGTTACTAGTCAGGTCTGATACATTTAACTGTTTGTCATATGAATGACACAAAACTATTTTAAATGTGATAATACCATGATTCCTATAGGCTTGAATGGATACCTTTTACTTCTAGAGAAACTTGGTTTCTAGAAAATGTTTCTTCTGTTTTTTTCTGCCTGAGCAGTTTTTATTTCTTCTCTCTTTGAAGAATTTCTATCTTTTGAGTAGAATTATATCATAGATATTTTATGTTTAACCTCAGAATGAATAATGTTGAGCACCCAAACTGAGAGTACTCCAGACTTACATTCCTCCTCAAAAGCAACTAATGAGCTGGCAAAAACTGTCCGAAGAAACTTTTGAGGAACCCTGGAATCTGGTAAATTGTTACAACAACCAGAGAGGAAGACTTGGTGAAGAAAAGAACTGATACTTTGTAGTAAGAGGACACTGTGACATTTTAAATTGGCTGCCTGCCGTCTTCTACATCCCAGATCAGCAGAGGCTGTGAGGACAGCTGCCTACACTCTAATATATACAATAATAAAGCCTACACTCTAATATAGAGCATATATTCAAACATACTAACATACACATAACAGGGAATTCTAAATGAGAGAAAAGAGAGAACAAAACAGAAAGAGTATTCGAAAAAATGATGGCTAAAACCTTTCACACATTTGGTAAAAAATAAGAATTTAACATCCAAGAAGTGCAATGAACTCCACATAGATTAAACTAAAGGATATTCACAATTAAGACATATCATAGTCATACTGTCAAAAGACAGAAAATCTTGAAAGCAGAAAAAGTGATTTTTTACATACAAAAAATAATAAGACTAACAGCTTATTTCTCTTGAGAACCCACAGAGGTTAGAAGGCAGTGAAATGTCATATTTAAATTGCTAAAAGAAAAATAAAAACATCTGTCCACCTACATTTAGAATGCTACGTCCAGCAACACTATACTTCAAAGAATGAAAGAGAAAATAAGACATTCCCAGATAAACAAAAACTGAGGGAGCTGATCACTAGTAGAACTTCCCTACAAGAAATGCCAAAGGGCATTCTCCAGAAAAACTGAAAGGGCACTCATTGTAACCCAGGCTATACAAAGAAACAAAGAACACTGGTAAAGGTAACTACATAGGTAACTACAAAAGCAAGCAATACTGTGTTTTAGTTGCTTTAAAACTTTTTATTTACTATGTAATTTAAAAGAAAAATGCAGAAAGCCACAATGATAAATCTACGTTAAGGCGTATACAATGCGTAAAGATGTAATGTGTGACAATAACAGCATAAAGGGGGCAACAGAGTTGTAAAAAGCTAGGATTTGTATATTATTAAATTAAGTTGGTATTCAACAATAGATAAGCCAAGAGCCAAATCAGGAAAGCAATTCCATTCACAATTGCCACATAAAGAATAAAATACCTAAGAATGCAGCTAAACAAGGAGGTGAAAGATCTCTACAAAGAGAATTACAAAACACTGCTCAGAGAAATCATAGATGACACAAATGGGAAAACATCCCATGCTCATGGACAGGAAGAATCAATATCATTATAATGGCCATATTTCCCAAAGCAGTGTAGAAATTCAATGCTATTCCTATCAAACTACCAATTACATTCTTTATTGAACTGCAAAAAACTATATTAAAATTCATATGTAAGCAAAAATGAGCCCAAATAGCCAGGGCAATCTTAAGCAAAAAGGGCAAACCTGGATGCATCATGTTACCTGACTTCAAACTATACTACAGGGCTACAGTAACGAAAAAGGCATGGTACTGTATAAAAACAAACATATAAACCAAAGGAACAGAATAGAGAGGCCAGAAATAAGGCTGCACACCTATGACCATCTGATCTTTGACAAAGCTAACAAAAGCAAGCCATGGAGAAAGGATTCACTAGTCAATAAATGGTGCTGGTA